GTATTAATACTTCACGTGATCTTGATTCTATCCCTCTGTTAATGCAGCCCAGCACTGNCTTACTTTTTTCACCATTGAATTTCATTTTGTTAGATAGCGCCCAGTGTTCAAGTCTGTCCAGATCCTCCTGTATCTTAAGCCTGTCTTCTGAATTGTTGGCTATTCCTGCCAGCTTGGTGTCATCTGCAAATTTGATGATTTCCCCATCTATCCCCTCATCCAAATCATTGATGAAGAGGTTGAAGAGCACTGGGCCCAGAACAGAGTCCTGGGGCATCCCACTACACACTTCCCTCCATGTAGATGCGGTTCCATTGAGGACCACACGCTGAGTACGGCCGGTCAGCCAGCTACGGATCCATCTGGTAGATTGGATTTTCATAGATTGGAATGGCTACTTTAAGTTTCAAAGCCTTCTCTCATCTAGCATTTATTTGGGATTGAACCCCCTGCTTATTACTCCTGGACTCGGATTTTCTGAAATTTAAAATGGCACTTTTCTCAGGACTTTTTTGAAGTTGGAAGAATAATCACAACTGTACTATAATAATATAGTAGAGTTGTGATTAAATGATAGTTTAATATCTGATTTTTGGGTAATGAGTCAAAGGTAAATAAATAAAATATTTCTCTCAATATCAATTGCTCAAAAAAAAGAGTATGAATGTGCTATTGACTTCCTGTTCTGTTTGATTGGTGGATTGAGCCATACTAGGTGTAATTAAGCACAATACCTCTTATGTTCTTTAGATAAATTATTGCACTTTTTAAAAAAAAAATCAAAATCATGCAGAATTATTTGATGTTTAAAATATTTTATTGCACAGAAAGTGATTTTGGCTGCAACAGAAGTTGATTTCTACACAGAAGCCAAAAATACTGACCTTTGATTTTTTAGAACATAGGCTATCTTAACTATATAAAGAGATAAAATTAAGAACATAATTCAGTGAAAGACAATATGCATAAAAACGAACATGCTTTTTATTTATTACCAGGGTAGAAATTAGCTATATTTTAAACAAGCCAGCCAACAATTTTTTTCCCTTTTAGGCAGAGTTAGAGCCCATCTGCCTAACTGACTTTCTAGTCCTTGTGGCATACATTAATGTCAAGCTCAGTGAGAATATCTATTTGTGGGTCTTATTCTTTGAACTCTCTTTATAACATATCTCCTTTTCTTCTGGAATAGCATATAACACTGCATGTGCAATTTATCTTGCATGACTTCTGGTATGGATTTTTTGCAGTTGTGTGTACATTCCTTTGTCAGATTATGATTTATTTCTATAAGCACTTTCCCATTTTAAGTTGTCAGATGTTTCCTGTACTTATACAACAGAATGTTTAACCTCTCAAATATACTGTGGAAAGCAAAATTCTAACACTGTAATACTGAATTCATTTATATATGGCTGGCCAATTGAAGTAATGACTTTTTTCTCAACTAGAGACAGAATCTACAGTCTTACTAAGATCTCATGATACTGATTTTTTAGGAGGCACATATGAAATTCCAAATACTTTCTAGTGTTTAATAAATGGCTTAACTTTATATGATGTATGGATCAAAGAAGCTATATCCCCATAAGGAGAAAAGAATAACAACCCATTTATTTTAGTATAGCTTTATTTTTTCCTTGCAGAACTGAACCAAGGTGTTAATTCAATACATGCACCTAAGCAGTTGCCTTCAGTGCATTCTGTTCATTACTTTCTAATGACATCCATTATAACGTATCTTTATATTTTAGCTTATATAATCACAGCCCATATTTGTTCAGTTATAAATCTCAATAAATTCCATAGGGCCCACTTTAAAAAAACATGTTTAATGAAATGTTATCCTGTCCTATTGCTCTTTGTCAGGCAAGTCATAACAAATTTGCATAGTCAAGCAAATGTAGCAAAATAATATGGTTAGCAACTTCATGTAAATTGGAGTAAAAATCTTTTTTTTTCCTATCAAGGGTCATATTTCCTCAAAGATAGTCTATTAAGTGGACATGTGGACATGATTGAAGCAAGTGGGGATTAGAAACAAAGCCAAGAATAGGTGACATCATCTATTTTCCCCCCTCTTTCTGCATCACCTGTCATTCTTCTTCTGGCTGATACTGAAAGACTTATAGGCAGTAATTCAAGGATACAACTCTTTGAAGAGAGCTAGAAATAGAAAAACTTTAGAGAATAAGAATTAAGTAATTTTAAAGAAGAAATCTAGCAACTGCCAGTATCAAAACAGCTCATATTTGATCTTACATTATGGTAATCAGGACTAAGAAGTGTTGTGACTTCTCCATTACTGTACCAACACTTATTGTCCAGTAACCCTGTTTATGATCACTCAATCCTTCCTGGGAAGAGATGAACAGTAACCTCTGCATACAACTTCTGTGATACTTTTGCATAACACTTTCTTTCACTAGAATTTGGGCTCCTTGTGGACAGGTCTAAATTGGTGTCTAGGACAAATACTGGAACAAAAGGAGAAATTTAAAAACCTGAAAAAATGTTTAGCATATTTAAATACCAGAGATATAGCATGACCAAAAGGAAAAAAATATTTTTCTTGTATCCCTTTATTCAGTTAATAAACCTCTGTCTTCCATGCAATCTCTGCTGTTTTAGTCAATCTGACAAAATGCTTGACTGGTAACATTTAAAACACAATTTGAAAAAAGATCCAAGAAAAACTAATGGGAAAAATAAACATATATAGTCTGGTAAATTTGTGCATTTTTTCCCCTTTAATGTAGGAATTAACTCTACGATCTACTTTAGAAATAATGTACAGATAAGTGGGGATCGATCCTTTCTCTTTCTAAAATAAGTATAATCAAATGAACATTGTTATGCATGTACATATCTGAAACACAATTTTAAGTACTGGGAACAAACTTCAAGCGGAAATTCTTCCAAATATGAACATTTATGTATATAGAAGAGAGTACAAGCAGACTTGTGGAATTGGCGTCTCTAGATGGGATTCTTGGCCCATCTAGTCTGTTCTCCAGTTTATTTTCACAATGGCCAACCAACTGCACAAAGAAGTCCACTATTCTCCCAGCAGATAGTCTTTAGAAACAGTCACATTGCTGTTATGGCTAATGGTCACTGTCCTCATAATTTCCATGAATTGATCCAATCTCTCTTTTTTTTCAAATCATTTAAGCTGGAAGCCAGCACATCTTGTGTTAGTCAATCCCAAAATTTCATTTTATACAATTGCAAACTCAACCATGTACTTTCATAAGCAAGTTGGTATGGAGCATGACCTTGAGTGAGGACTGGTTTCAGAGAAATCATTTTAAATCTAATGTGTATTCATAGAACTAGTTTATGGTTGTTCACATTTTTACAGTGAACATAGTCATTACACATTAATTAGGCTATTTCAGGGAGGAAGCAGAAAAAGTGATTTACTTCAGGCTTTTCTGCTGAAGATAATACAAGTTATGACTAATATCTAAAACGGCATAAACATCATACAGTAGCCAATACTGAAAGCAAAAGGTCATAACAAGAAATGTCAGGATTTGTTTCTGACAACTAGTATCAAAACTTCTTTGTATATGGCCATATACATTATAACAGCATACTAATTCTATTTAAACATTCAGCAAAAAATGGGAAATCACTCAGTAAGGCATATAAAGTTATCAGGCATTCAATAACCCCCCCCCAGCCCCAACACAATATGCATATGAATAAATATTTTAAAATAACCTTACTCCATGCATTAATAAAATTATCTAAATTTTAATATGGATTGATTAAAATGTTTTGGTTATTTGTATGGTTACCCATCTCAAGTGCATTTGACCAGGGTGGTATAAGGACTCCTGCCTTGATCATCAGGTTCATGAAATCCTAGGGCTGGGTGGGACCTTGGAGGTCTTCTAGCTGTAACCAGTGGTGGGATTCAAATATGTGAACAACTAGTTCTCTGTGTGGATGCCGCTTCCGGAAATCCATTCTGGGCCTGGGCAACAAAAAATTAGCTACCGGTTCTGCCAAAGTGGTGCGAGCCGGCTGAATCCCACCACTGGCTATAACTCTTGGTAGATAGCAATCATTACGAACAAAATAAGACAATGTAATGAAATTATGAATAACATAAACAGCTAGGAAAAGACAATAAACAGTAAAAGTAATCTTTTGCAATAATTAATTCAAACAAGAAATGGGCTTACCCACACCAACATTTATAGACACATATGCAAGTTATGCGACTGAAAACAAAAACCGCTTCAAATGTTAATAAAATCCAATACATCTGGAGCACACATGGTTGGGTAAAAGGGTTTTAATTGATGGACTCACTAGAAGAAAAACACATTGGCGGGTGGTGGTTCCAAAGAGTCAGAAGAAACGCGAATCCGCCGTAGCCAGGAAGAGAAGTTTTAAAGGATGCCGAATAGAAGAATGAGACAATTGTTTGGTTTCTTGTATCATAGTCAAAAACCTTGACATATTTACAGTATGGCGTGAGCTTTCTGAGAATTAGAATTAGATCTGGCTAAGGTCACACACATTGTGCTACATATTGGGAGTTTGCTTGGAATAGCGCATTGCGTGATTGAGTAAATGGGGCTAACAATCCGTGAACCATGGCATGCTCTTAGCAAAGTGCCTTTGGACAAAGACGCAGGGCTCGATGCCTCCCTGATCGGCACTTTGCTTCTAAACCTGGGCAAAGGGTTATTTTTCTATTGCAAGGTTCTTACGGGAAACAAGTAATAACGAGAGCAATTAAGGAGCGCACACATCTAAGAAGCACACTAGTTTGCTGGATAACAATTCCCTTCCCGCAACTTTTCACATTCGCGGTAACGGGTCCTCCGTTTCCGCGCTCCACCTCCTCCGACTCTGAAAGCGCGCTTGCCACCTTTGAAGCGGCGACGGAACAGCGCTGCTGCCTTTGGCCCCTCCCTCCCTCCCTCCCTGCTGCCGCTCTAGCCTGCGCTCTCTACTCTTCCGCCAAACCGGGTGGGTGAATGGGCGCGTGCTTGCTTCCTTCTGGCGCCCGCAAAAGGGGGAAACCGGAGCGCTCCAAAGAGCGAAAGAAGTGCACAGGGAGGAAAGACCAACCGAAACCACTGCACTCGCCGACCTTTCTTCCACCCGCCCCGTTTCCTACTGTGTTGGCCTCTTCCTCTTTCTGTGCCCGCTCTCTTTTCTACCTGTGCACAGTATTGGTTAAACTCTGTGACCTAATTTCTCTGTTGGCAACTGCATTTTTTTTTATTTTCTTATCCTGTCTTTCGACCTTCACCTGAGCCTTTATAGGGGCTTCTTTTTCATCAGGATATTATCATATCCGAAATTACAGCAGGGGTTGAGAGAGAGGGAGAGGGGGGGAAAAATTACCAGCGGAATGGTAATCGTTGCTTGTGAGAGGTCACGTTCTGTTTGCTGTATGTCTTCTTTTATGCCTGTCCTGTGTTGGTTTCTTTTTTCTTGATTTCTAATTACAAATGGATGTCTCTGAAACAGTCTGTCAGGAAGTTGGTAAACCGCCTTTCCTTTTACCAGACTGTGATCCTGGACTTGTCAAGCAAGACCATTCACACAGTCTGTCATCTCCTTTCTTTGGCAACACTGAATTGCAGTCTGCTGGTCCTTTCAACAGGAAAGCAGGAGGAAAGTGTAGGATTCAAGTGGTACGTTCCATATTTCTTCCAAATTCGCTGTGGCTTGGCTGGTTTTGTGCAGAAATATCAAAATATAAGATTTCAGATATATGTAGGATCATGAACTATCGTTGATCATGAAAAAGTTACATACTTAACTGAAGGACTTTGCTACTGACAGGCTAATCAAGGGTGCAAAGTGGTTGCACTCATCAATTAGTCATTTCTTTTAGGTTTGCTAGGGTAGCAAGATGTGTAGAAGAACAGACCTAATGTTTGTTTGCAATATAGTGACATCAATGCGGTAAATTTTGTGTATTTTAAGAATCAAAACACCCCAGAACAGTATATTTTGAAATAGAGAACAGTGTGCTTAATATGTTCTCTTACTCTTTTACAATATTGTATAATATAGCAGCTATGGTTTTATCACATGCATATTTATATAATTTTATTTTCTATCATTCAGTCCTGTCCTATTCTCAGAGACTCCCTACAGTTTTCATGGCAAGCTTTTTAAGAAGTGGTTTGCTGTTGACTCTTTCCTAAGATTGAGAGACTAGCCCAACTGGCTTTGTGCCTAAGGTGGTACTACAACTCATGGACTTCTGGCCTAAGGTGGTACTACAACTCATGGCCTGATGCCTTAACCACTACACAAAAATGGCTTCTTATATAATGTATAATTAGTTCCTATTAGTTAGTATTAGTAATTTCAATTTTCTACTTGTTAAGACTTTTCACTTTATTTCCACTGAAAGTGGAAGCAACTAATTGGTCTGGGGTGAACTAGAAAAAGTAAATCAGGTGAGATAGGAAGGAAGAATTATTCTGAAACTAGCTTCATATTTTTGCCAAAAAATTAATATGTATATGTCCATGTAGTAACAAGAGCTGAGCTCAACTCAAGACAGACTTTTTTCCCATTTATATCTTGAGCCATGGCACAAATGGTTTGTTTTTGTTCCTTAAACCATAGTGTGGAAACCATTTGAAGAATACCGAAGATGCCTAAGAACCAATTGTTGAGAATATGTATTATAATCATGTATTAAATATTATTTTAAAACAATACATTTATCCAAAAATGTCCATTTGATTGTTTTTAAAATGTATGTGCCTTGGGAATCCAAATTCTTAAATTGACTAAGCTTACTGTTGGTGCTGGGAGTTGTAGTAAAAGAGATACGGAGAATACTGGTTTAGGGAGGTTGCTCTTAATATTTGCTAAATTTCCTGAGAGCCTTGTAACCTGCCAAAATCATGCCTGCTGTGACCCTATGGTTCTTTTGACATGTTGGCAGGGTAGAGCCTTCCCTTTTAATGCGCTTAGCTTTAAAGGTCCTTGAAACATCTTGAAAGCACAGCATGAGGTCAAAGGCCATCCCTGTGACCCCTTTCCAGTTCAGACTACAGGGATGATGGAGCTTGTCTGTGTTATGCTAAATTGTGGATGTGGAGTGCCTTTAAAACCCAGAGCAATTATAAGAATAATCTGTTCTGACATCCAAGTTCAGTGCAACAAAAGAGTTCATTACACTTGTTAGAGGGGAAAAGTGTGTACACCAGTGTCAGTTTGGAATGCAGATTAATTGTCTATACTATCTGTTGCTTTTTATAGATAGATTATTGTCTCTTAAGATATGCATATTGATACTGCAATTTCTCAAAGTCAGCTATGTAAGTCTTTTATGTAAGAGTACTAGAATAAATATAATGTACCTCAAATTTGACTCTGAAAAAGAATAGTTGCTAATGTAATTGTAATTGGAATTATGAAATTTGGAATTAGTTTATAATGACTTACGTTGTTAATAGCTTTTGTAGAACAGTTTCTGATTTTGATACAGGTTGGAGATATTAAAATAAAAGTTATCAAAGTAATTTTTGAAGAAGGTTTACTATTTTCAGCAGTTGAATGAGGTGTGGGATATAAATTTAGTAAATATATATAGTACATATATGAATATAGTAGGTCTTTTGAAATCTGCAATTATATGTGGGATTATATTCAGAAAGTACTGCTCTTTGTTGATCTCAGATGAGCAAGCATGCTCCCAAATCAATTCTGGTAGTAACTTGAAGTAGTGAGGAACCAAGACAGACTTGGGAAGAAAGAAGGAACCCAGAATAAGAGAAAGACATCAACACTGAGAGATATTAATTGTATTTGCACAAGTTTTAAATGAGAAAAAAGGAATCATTTGTAAGGAAAATGATATTGCTTTTTTCTGCTCAGAAATCATTGCTCTGTAGCATATGTTTGTTTAAATTAGACATCAATAATGATAATGTGGCATATTGGTTGATGTTATATTTATGTATTTTTATTCATGGTAGTCTGTGATTCTGCCAGTCTACAATGCTGAGTTCTGGCTGGATGAATGTCTGAAGTCTGTTCTGGATCAAGATTTCCAAGGTTCTATTGAACTCTCCGTTTTTAATGATTCTAGCACGGTATGTACATTTATAATAATTATTTTTACTTTTACTGTACTACTATAATTTTGAATACCAGTTCCAGTTAACTTGTTTAACATTTAAAAGTTAAAAATTAAACTTTTTGATGCTTTTTCTTATCAGGATAACTCTATAAATATAATTAAAAAATGGAAAATTTTGTTGGAAGAAGCAGGCATTCCGGTAGTACTGGGAGAAAACTATTCAACTCATCCAGGTGGAGGTAGGAACTTTAAAAATGCAGGTGTAATATTTTCCTCAGCATGTTGTATAGACATAGAGTACAAATGTAATTGAGCTATGTGCTGAGAAATCAATCTGTTCAATCTTTCTTTGGCCTCCCCTAATATAATGGTTGCTGAAGAAACTAGGACTTATTAAGTAGGACCATTTGAGGGTTCTCCTGAACCTGCAGTTCTTGTTTGAGGATTAGATGGCTGTGTGCCTAGGTGTGTTTTTGCATAGCTTTGTGTTGTGTTCCATTTGTGCTCTTACTTGGAGCAGAAAATTCTTCTTAAAGTTACTGATGGTTTAGCCATCTCTTGAGTGGATTACTGGAATGTGCTTTACATGAAATTGCCCTTGAAGAGCATCCAGAAGTTGCAGCTGGTTCAGAATATGGCGGCACATGAGTGTCCTTTAATATGTGCACATTTCACTTTTGCTCTTACTGCATTGATTTCCAGTATGATGTCAATTAAAGAAAACAATCTAGTGAGACCCAGGAATCTTGTGGCAGTGTGATTGAAGCCCACCTGTTTTGTTTATACACTGTCTTAGAGAAGCACAGAAGGGTCGGGCTTTGTAATGTCCTAACTGCCTTCTTGATTTTTTTTTTTTTTTTACTTTTCCCGATTTCCTCTTTAGAAAATGCAGTTACTTACATGTTACTAAAGGTCTGCCACAGCTCCTTTGAACACTATCCAGTGTCATTTACATATGTGCTAAATTCAAACGTTCCACTTTGACTGTCAAAGATAATCTCTTCTTGAGGTTTGACCTAATACTAAGCATGTAGCTTCAATATTAAATATAATTGAATGGGGATATTGTCAAATCCACTATAAATCATTCTGACTTCCCTGGCAAAAAGATCAAATGTTTTGTATCTTAAATTTCTGGAAATGTATCCTTGTTGATTTGTTTTGTTTTGTTTTCTTGTCAGTTTTCAATATGCATTTCAGAAACATAATATCTGTTATTTATAAAGTACAAGGTATAACTTGGTTGAAAAGGCCAGTAAAGAAAAAGCATTTGTTGTAGGCTGGGAAGAAGCCAGTCCAGTTGTATGCTAGACTGAAAAGTATGAATAATGTTAAATTTGTGATCCCAGCCAAAACAAATAGCTCTAGTGTTGTTGGAAATGGCTGGAAAGTAACAGATTCAAGTTGAATTGCCAAGTGTAACCACTCTAGAATGGAGAGCAGTTCATTGGGGTGTGAACTGTGAATCGTTTGTATTGAGTTTTAAAGCTGATATTTTAAAGTTGGTATACTTTTTGGGTGAGATTGCTAAAAAAAAAAGGCAGGAAAAAGAATAAATTGCATTTAGGAGATGTTATTAAGAAAAGTTAATTTGTTTCCACTTTCTTTTTTTAAGCTTATAGATACTTTATTCAATATATAATACAATCAGGATTGCCTTTTTCTGTTAAGATTATTTGGAAGTTGCAATTAAAAGAAAAGGCTGGAAAATGTGCTAAGCTAATAATCTCTTTTCATCTCTAACACACATCTTTGTATAACTATGTATATATCTTCACAGTTTGTATATATTCTATTCCATTCCCCAGAAAGGAAAAATAATCAGAATAAAATTATTTCTAAACACAGACAAATATATTGTGTGATTCCCCGTTTTCCTGAATATGTTAGCTTGACTATTCAAGTCTTTAACCCAGTCCTGGAGGTATTTTCTTCCCTTCCAGCAGTGCTGAACCCACATTCCAGAAAATGGCAGGGCCAGAAAAAAATAATATTGGCTGAATACAATTAATTGCCTGTAAAATAAGGTACCCCATTTAGAAAATGAATGAATCTCTCATCTGTATATTCCACCCATTTTTTATTTTGCAGCCCACTCTGGTAGGGACATTCAAAAGTGTGCACTCAAACACACACACACACACACACTTTCATCTTTCCTTCCATCTGAGCCAAAACAATTACAAACCAAAAGAAAACACAAGAGCTAGACTGGATTGGGCTGGGATAAAAGTAATAGGTATTTAAGAAAGAGAATGTAACATAAAAATGGGGAAAAAATGGGGTGGAGATAGAGAATAGATAGGGAATGGAAGAAAATAGATAGGGAATGGAAGAAAAGTGTCTGTGTGTCCAAAAGCCAGCAGGGTTAATTGCATTTCACCTAGCACAAAGTTCATTTGATTTCATTTTTTACTTTTTGCATTGCTCCGATAAAAAGACACTTGAGTGCTTTACAGGATGCATTCAGTAATAACATTAAAAAAAGTGATAAAAAGCCATAAGGAAACAAAAGACACCCACAAACATACTGGTCTCACTACATCCCCAAAATGTGCTCACATTCAGCACATTCAATACATCATTGTGGAGATGGGTATAACAATATTCCTGGTTATTCCTGGTATAACAATATCAGGAACTTTTCTGTTGGTTTGGAACCCAGAAATTTTAAGGAGAATGGACATCATACTTTCAATATTTGATTATACATACCTCTTTTATAGGACCCCACAAAGTCAGGCCTGGATCACTGATAACATTGTGGAATCTTTTGGCTTAGTATGATTATCATTACTAATCAACTAGCATTACTTGAGTGTTATAAAATACTATAGCAACAAATAGCGTTAAAGGTGTATCATTAGCCACTTCTCTCAAAATTAGCTTTTTCCAAAACCATGGGGCTTGGTGGAGTTTTTTTAATATTAAAAAAGAAGATTTTAGCCATTTTTATAAGATATTATGAACATATTATGAGAAAAATTTCCCAGTTTTATTCATATACTAGCAGCTGATCAAATACTGAGTCCAATCCTAGTGTAATTCAGATAAAAATTAACTAGAAATTAATTTTTAAATCTTTAAACTTTTGTCACATTGGCATAATTTTTTTTTTTTAAATCTAAATTATAGTTCTGCAATATAGAAAAATATTTTTTTCTATTTATGTTGTTCTGTATTTTCTCAACTTTTGCTATGTAGGTTGAGAAAAGGTATATAAGAAAAGAGACTACCGGGAATAAATCTTTTTTAATGTAGAATATGTACATTTGAAGAGCCTGTTTAGTTGGAAATGTTGTTGATCCCTATATCCTTAGTGATTTACTTTTCTGTAATTATGAGTAGTTAGCATGTGCAGAGGGTATTTCCTTTGAAACAAGGCCCTCTCCAGCCCCCAGGGATGAAACAATGTGACAGTCTTCACATCCCGTGTTTACATTGGATTAAGATTCATTTCTGGTTCTTTTCTGTCATGGAAAGGAACAAGAAAAACAAAAGGGAAAACTCCCCACAAAAGAGAGGGTCAGTGCTTTTAAAGAAACTACCACAAAACTACTTCTTTCCAAGAGTGAGGAATGTTAATATCTCATGGGGTCTTAGGTTTTTACTCCTGTGGCCATGGCAACATGTTCTTTTCAGTAATGGAGCAGGCCTTACAAAATCGCCAAGGCCTGGCACAGACATTTGACTCTCCTCAGTAGAGTAGTATCACAATGCATTCCTTGCTCATGCCAAAGGCAAGATTCATAGTGCGAGTCCCGCTTTAAAGTTTTTGTACAGAATGAAATATCTGGAATCATAGTTGCCTTGATGTCAAAAAAGGTTGCTGTGAACAGCTGATGGCTAAACTGTTTTAGTATCTTAAACATTTGTTTCTACAACTTAATATCTTATTCTGTAATAATTATCTGGACTTGGACAGGTTGTTCCTCCTTTGCCCCAAATAACTTAATTCTTAAATTCTTCTGTGGCTCAAGCACATCATTGCTCACTGTCCTGTCTGTTTATTTTCATTTCAATGTTTATTTTCATTTTTGAAAAAATATTTTATTTTTGCATTATAATTATTTTAGTTGATTAAGTTGTAGTAATCGAATAATTATTTTTCATTGGTCCAATGTGTTTCTTTTACTGTATGATAATATGAGTTAGCTAGGCAAAGTATGAGTTAAAACGTGTAAAAAAATCCTATGAAAACAGCATAAAATAAATTTGCAGAACAGAACACTAGATACAAGGTAAAATTATAATGAATGACAAATAAACATGGATGGAGATCAAATAGGCGATCTGAATTTTTGCTTTATAATTTCAAAAACTTCAAAATTTCAAAAATTGTAGTGATTGAACTATATTTTTTATACTTGTAATGCAGTTGGTGAGTTTGTTAACATTTGAAACAAATGAATGCTTCAATTCCTGCAGGCACACATGAAATCACAAGATGAGTGATATGAAGTTTAGGTTAGTTCCTACATGAGTTGCTTTGAGCTTATTGTTTCAAGTTAATTAGATTCTCAAGTGTAAAATAATACTTTATTGGCCTTTGTTTTTTATATCCCTTTATTTCCATCATGTCTCTTTTTAAAAGCATAATTCTGAAGTCTGTGTGGATTTTCCCCCCATTACTCTTTCTATCTTCTTATTGCTTCTTTTTTCTATCAACTGAGACATTTTGGAACAATCAATTAACTATTTCTTCCATAGGATTTATACTTACATAATTTTACTTTATTTAAGTGATAACTTTATTTTTGGCAAAGATCTTTGTAATATAAAGGCTGTTAAAACCCATCCTTTATTTGTTCAAAAATCAATAAAATTAAATTTTAAGATTGACAACACATACAGAGTCTGCTCCATCAAACTTTTTTGTTTCCTCTTTTCTTATTTTATTCTACCCTGCAGAAAAGGTTTAAAAGGTATAAACCAATACTAACCTCCTTTGCAATCCAATTGTAAAAAAGTGTAGGATAGCAGGAATGAAACTAAAAAAATGGTTCCTGTGAACGTACACTTTATCCTGTGGTGGGATTCAGTTGGTTCACACCGGTTCAGCAGAACCAATACCTAATTTTTTATTGAGTTCAGCGAACTGGTTATGGTGATCTGTTGGGGTAGTAACAAAAATAATGGAAAACATCACCTAGGGAAAGATATGCTACTCTGGACTCCTTGTAACATTCTGGGAGTGTCACAAAATAAACTACCTTCGCTTTTCTACAGCGATACAAGTAAAATTTGACCGGATTTCCTCCAGAGGAGGTTAGGAGTTTCTATAGGGGATAGTGGCGTCCTCAGCCATGCAGCGGGACCCGGAGCCGCCCATGCTGACCATTCCAATTCCTTGTTCCCACTTTGTACCAGATTGAATCCTGGTGCTGTCCCCTCTGTAGACTTTGGAACACTTGTAGCCACCGCCACACCTCTTTGTGCAGGGAAGGCACACACATAAACACCGTCCCTCTGAAAGGACCTCCAGAGCTGCCACGGCCCACCCCCTCCCCTCCTCTCCCTTCGCAGGCTGCCCACGAGCTTGGTCCACCAGGAGGAGGAGGCTTCCACAGGAACTCTTTGAGGCTGAGGCGGTGCTATGCTTCAGCCACAGCCACAACAATCCGTAGCAGCTGCACTGGTTCCCTGCTTTTGCCTCAACTGGATATCTCTACCTCCTGTTCCCGCCCCTTGGCTGGGGTGCCTTTTCTCTTTTCCTCAGCCATGGCGACCTCGGTCCCATCGCTCCCTTGATATTGCCCCTGTCGCATCCGACTCCTACTCCGTCTACTCAAGAACCCTTTAATGGCTCAGACCCTCCAGTGACTGCCACTCGACTTGTTTACACTGCCAGTGGTTACCACAATGAACAAAAAAGCCCAACAGGAGCGCCGTGCATGGTGAGGGGATGCAGGACTTAGGAATAAACTCCTCATCTCTTTAGTTTCCCAACTGGTATATACGGGAAAGGGAGTGAGGCCACCAAGTATAAGCTGGGGTTGTAGCAGAGAACTGGTTGTTAAATTATTTGAATCCCATCACTGATTTTATCCACTTTTAATATTAGAATTGGAATTTGTTCCATCCCTTCTTAGAAAAATCTGTTTTTATTCCCACTTTCTTGATTTCTGAAGTCTCAATTTATGAGTCAAATAAGTTTTAATTTCATATAACAAAAACTATTGAGAAAGAAAATTCTTTGTTGACCTTCTTTGTGGCTTAAACTAGTAGATTCTAACCTTTACGTCACTGAATTTTGTAAGATTTTAATATTTTTGCCCAATAGTTTGAAAGATTTCAGATGGAATGCCAAAATTTAAGATCTCTGTCTATCTTTGTCTCCCCTCCCTAATAAATAAATAAATTACGCTGATGCCATTGGGGAAATTGTGAATCGCTGGGTGATCACAAGCATTATGTTGCCAAGCACTGAGTATAAATTGTCTAATCTAACAAAGAGAAGGACTAGAAATAACATGAAAACAGTCTTCCAATATCTAAGGGGCTCTCACAAAGAAGAAGGGAGCAACCTGTTTTCCAAGGCATCTGAGACAGGACAAGAAATAATGGATGTATGAAGGAGTGATCCAATCTAGAACTATGGAGAAATTTTCTGACAGTGGAATGGCTTGAAATTGTGCGTGCTCCATCACTGGAAGTTTTAAAGAAGGAATTAGACAGCTATTTCTCTAGAATGGTATAGAGTCACCTGCTTGAGCAGGGAGTTGGATTAGAAGACCTTCAAGATTCCTTCCAACTCTGTTAATCTGACTTTCTGATTGGCAAAAACTTTGGACAATAATGCAGCGTTCTATGTAAATGAATTGTGAATTGCTTGTTTTCCATGGCATCTGAACCAGCTAAAACCTTGATTTAATGGAAATTTGAAGGATAGGGATGCCCATTCAATTTGAATCTATGCAATTAATATTATTTGCATATATAAATCAGTGGAATTAGTGTAAAATATCAATTACATAGTTACACAAATGTGCATTGATGCAAATCATGTCAATTATATCAATTGTATATAGCAAACTAGTTTGCAAATTGTTGGCTTTACTCATTGTTTGCAAATGAAGTGTTAAATAATTTTTTTCCTCTTGCATCTGAAGTTTGGACCTTTACTCCAAATTGAGCTTTACTATAATGCTTCTTTCAAAACATAGAAAGGGAAAAAAAACAGTGTCATTACATATGCATGCAAATCAGGAGTTATTTAGGCTGCTATAGCTGCTTAATGAGAATATCCTTCAGATCTATTTTGGAAAGAATGCTAATTTGTATAGGTATTTGGGCTTATTGTTAAGTTTAATGTTACATAATTTCAAGTATAAAATATAAATTCCATTGATTTTCATATACTGCATTGACTTTATCTTATCAACAGTTGGCTTTGCTAAAAATTGTGCTATTGATCAGAGCTCGGGGGAGTATCTCTGCTTTCTGGACTCGGTAAGTCTATTCTAGGAATTGTTTATTAAATGTAATATAAAAATGTATATTTTCAACTGTCTTGTTCCTCCCTTTTTCTTATCAAATAGTTGTGGCTGATAATTTTTGATAGGTTTATATGTGTTTCATGCAGAATTCTTTGACATATTTTGCAGCTATTTCTACATAGACCCTTAGTTATTAAAATAGGGTTATAAAGACTCTATAGTATCACCAAAAATGAAGGTTGCTGAGGTTTCCATAAATAGCTAGTGGGCCACATGTTTTTGATATTTGACTTAATGCTCAAAATTGAAGTGACACACTTCATTGATTTGGAACAGTTTGGAATGTTACAAACTATGACATTGCTGCAGGCATAAAGTACTATAGTTTGTAAGACAATTTTATTCAACAAGGTGCTCTCCAAATGTTTTTGATTATTGTTCCCATAATTCTCATGATTGATTTTCCAAGTGTTTGAACCTTTCAAATTCCTTTTTATCCATATAATGTAAGAGTTGAATAAGTGGTACGTTCACTTCAAGTCCAGTATCTTGGATAAAAATATATCTGCTACCTCTGTGAGAAAACTTTGTAGCTCATTGGGACCACAACAACATTGCCACTTAGTACTTTCAGATTCTCAGAACAGTGGAGGGGGACTTAAATAGGTTACGTTAAACATGTTCTGTTTAAATATTCAACATTGCAGGTAAGAGCCTCTACAAGTGAACCCAGAATTAATGAGATCATGTTTCCTAGGAGGACAAATGCTTTAACTACAGCAACAAATGACACCTTTTCTTTTTCCCCCAGAGACCTTCTCTGTGTTGCTGCCAGAAGCATGTAAGAATTTGGCAATTAGGAGGAGGAGGCTAATCTAGCAGAAATGCTGCTTTTGGCAGATCACGATATTAGTTGTCTTGCCAGAATCATTTAGACCTCACAGTGTGCTTTTCCTTCTTTTACCTTAAAGGAGCTGTAACAATGACGAGAACAAAAGTAGAGACAATTAATTTCTAATGTAAGTTAGCAAACAAGCTTTATTGAACTGGATACTGGATTAGCTTACTGTATGAATAATTAGTCTTATAAGTCTGCACAGTTCTAACTTCAAATCCCTCCTTATCAAATATAAATTTGCATAAGGCACTTTACATCTCTTAAAAAATCCTTCTGTTATAATGTTGCTATCATGAGCAATTACAGTTAAAGTTGTTGGGATGGCTCATCTACATGATGAATGCATAAGGACAAACTTGAAACAACCAGTACTTTGGCAGAGGTCCCTCAGGTATTAATTTTTGGTTTTGCTATTGCTACTTCTAAAGAGTTACCTAATAAGTGGAGTATTCTCCCTTGCATTAGCTAGCAACGTTTCTTGGTTTGAAGGTATTTTATAAAATGCTGGATCCCTGCCAAATCCTGCTTTTGCCAGTGAATTTCAACAGGGCAATCTTGGATTGCTTGAGTTCTGTGTTGCCCTCTCTGATTGGGTAATGGTGACAATAGTCACTTTGGCTGGCAGTTATAAAGGAGTACATCAGATTGCCATATCCCTGTTTCCTGGTATTCATTATCTAATCCTCCCCCCCCCCCCCATCTTTGGTTGCTTTTCCTTTTGCTGTTGAGAGTGACATTATTGAAATGTTTGCTTCCTGGAAACTTCCTTCAGCAGAACTGTTCTGTTAATTTTGAACTACAAATGCTCTCCATGAGGCTCAGGAGAAATCATAAATAGTCTTTCTGAAAGTATCTGTTTCCTGAATATCATGGGGAATATTTTATTTCAAGATCATAAAAGAAAACTAAACTAAATAACAGCAGGATGGGGCTTGTGACCTTCATCAGGAGATTGGCAGATCCTCCCAAAAGTATGAGGATTGTCTTTTTCTTTATTCGTTTTTTCTGTTTGTTTTTTGAATTAACAATAATGTTCTGAGATTTTTTAGATGATGTCTTTGACATCTGTCTTCTTGGGCAGTTAAGTTGAGAATTTGGGTCCTGCTTACTTGTTCCAAAAGGAGATGCCATCCATCAGGTGATGAATGCTCTTTAAGCAATTCTGTTTTCTCCTTCAGTGGAGAATGATTTTTTTAATTAATTTATCCTTACTCATTCTGCTAATTTTCTGCTGAAAATACAGTAAGAAATATTTGACGTGCTTAGTCCTATGATCCTTGCTTTACACAAAACATGAATTTGACTATTTTTTTCTTCTTCTCATGGGTATCAAGTTAGTATAAGAACTTAATTAGAGCAAAGTATGTTTGACTGTGAGACCATACTTATTAATGATCCTGAGCTGTGGAGAAAATGCATCAGTAGCAAAGAAGAAAGGGAAAATAAAATATTACAATTGCACAAAAGCAAACATGTTATTGATGTAGTATATTTAGTGGTAAGGCACATTAGCAAACAAATATATTTTGAAAAATTTGGGGTTGATGGTTCTGCATCTTTGACGTTTCATATTCTTGAACCATTTTATTTTGAACCATGACAGCACATTCTTCTTCCCTCATTTATGAAAACAATTGATGGGGATATTCCAGTCTCTCCTAGGTGTAAAAAGGATGCACTTCCTGTTTTTATTGGCTATATCTTCCCTAGAGAAGCCAATTACGATGATTTTTCTTAAAGTACCTGCACATGTTAAGAGAGTGACTAATCTTAAAACAGGAAGGTGGTACTGCTTAGTCTCTTCAAATCCTCGCTTTTCCTTGTTCATCTTCACGTTTATAAAATTTATATGGCTGCCAATCTCAATGACTGACTCTTGGTATCTGGAATTAAAATAGATTAAAAAATAATAAAAATTGTAAAAATTAAAAATACATGCAGCTAAGAAACAAGACAAATCACTAGCACAACCTAGAAGATGGTCCCTGCACATGCTCAGGGCCCTAGGCCTGGACACAGAACTAGGTCTTTAGGGCTTTCAAAAGGCCAGCAGAATTGGAGCCATCTTGATCTCTAGAGGGAAAGGTTGCCATGATTCAGTTTTCCAGACTGTTTTTACTACTTTTCCAAATGTGAGTAAGGAAGAGGCCATTCTAACTTCAGGAAGCAATTGGTGAATTAGGATTAGTGTCAGGAAACACAGAGTAAATTGTACAAATCCAATTGAATTATGATTCCTTGAGGTAGAGAAGAATGAGTCAATATGGTAAAATAGCTAAAATGCTGGTCTAGGCCAAGAAAACTCAGATTCAAGCCCATCCTAAGCACTGGAAGGTCATTGTGTGATTTTGGATTAGTCTTTGAATTTTACCCTGCTTTACAGAATTGTTGATATGGGGAAAATTGAAAGAGAAAGTGTTAGTCGTTGAATTGAGGGAAAAGTGGGAGGAACTTCTAACAGATAAATTTCTGATGAAGCAAGAACTATCCAGGATATTCAGCCAACAACTGTGTCCTTGCTAGTACTAGTGGATAGAGTACTAGATTTATACATGAATGCATTAATAGGAACATATGTGTATTTTAAAAGACTTCAAATTAGCTAAAGCAATGTCTTTACAACAAATGCTCAAACAGTACTAATTATTCAGTACTATAGCAACAGTAATTGTACTAGATGAAATTTATAGCTTAAGAAGCAGCTGAATACAGATCTCATCTTCCAGTTTCCTTATTCTTGGGAGGCAGTTTTGTAGATGTTTGAAATGATATTTTGTAGAAGCCAAAAATGTAAACAAGCTATTTAAGTGAAAATACATAAAATGTAAACATGCACAGATATAATCATATTTATAGAATGAAGCAATTACTTTACTAGCTTCTACTTATTTTTCAAATTGCAAATTGCAAAATTACTGCTGGTAGTGCAGTTGTCTTAGTCTCTCCATGGTTAGACTAACTATGTTCTGATTTCTTATTGAACAAAAACTGGCAATTTTGTCATATTACATGAAAGGTTAAATCATGATTTAAAACATGGTTACTTTCACATACTTAATGCCGTATCTGATCGTGGACACCTCTGTCATGGGAAATAAGCAATTTATGTTAGAATGGAGATGGAATAGATGGATTTTTGTGCTGATATAATAATGAACTAAACAGTTATAGGAATGTTTTACAAGTAATTAAAGTCCTGGATAGAAAGTGTGTTCATCTGATCAACAGAATCTCTGCTTGCCTGTATAGTACAACGTATAGTATTTCTGATGGAACAACACCCATATTCTTGTAAGCAGTGTTTTCATTTGCTTTCAATAACTGAGAGGTATTGTGGAAGTAGCAACAAGAAGTATGTTTTTCTTTAATGTTATGCCTTTGAAAATTCTGACTGCATAGCAGCCATCCATAGGGGAAACATGGGGAGGTCAGATTGACAAAAACAGTGTGGCAGTATTGTGATGGAAGCCCTGCTCTCTTTCTACATGTACAGTGTTGTGATGTCGCACACATGTTCAAAAGAACCAGACCTTGCAACCCCCAATACAGTGCTACTTTTGTCAGAATTAAATATATTTGATTGCCGCTGCACCTGAATATGAATGTGGAATCTGTTTTCTGCTTTTATCATTTAACCATTCCAAAGCTATTGCCAATCAAATGCTAATAATCTGCTTCAGGGCAAGAACTCATCAGTTAACCCATGTCACACTGCCTTCCCATTTCCTTTTTCTATTTGTTTAGTAGAAGAATTTTGGATTACCAGAATGTTGTCAGAGTTACTTTCCCACAATAAGTTAAACATCTGATGTGTTGATAAAAAAAATGGATGTTCTTCCCATTACTTTGTCTGCTTAAGAGCACAGAAAGAAGATAAACATTTCTGAAATTGATAATTACTTTCTATTCTTGTTGAAAACAACTTCTTAATACGATGCAATAATTTCTGAAAAACATGTTACCAGCTGTGAAATTTAACTTTGTCTATGATTGCTTTTATGTGCCTTTCTTAGTTCTCATTTTCAGTTCTCTAAGTTGGTAATGAAATAACCAGAATATAAGGTTGGTGTCACACATATGGTATGGCCAAAACAGGATCTCGGGAATTGTAACTGTTAAAAGTATGAGAGGGAGTTATATTGGGTTTTTTTTTTTAGAGTGTTTAGAATATTGTGGTTTGGGCATGTGTGCCATTGATTTGTAAATGTGTGGCATTTTTTTTAACCTAACTTGAATACTATTCTGCAACATTGACTGCATGATAAAAATTGGTAATCAGCCTTGGACCCTTTTGGCTTATTAGAATTTTATGATAATTTCCTTTCATTGAATGACTCATTTTTAAGAGAAACAATGTTGAACTAGCTTAAGTACCTCTTTAGTTTTAGCAGCATTTAGTCAACATTTGATAACTAAATTCAAGAGTAGCATGGTGGCCTAGTGGTGAAGATACTCACCTTCACGCGGAAGGTTGAGAGTTCAGTGCTAGGTATGAGTAGGTGTTTCTCTCCTAGAGTGTAAAGAAAAATACCTGCTATGAACTCTGTGTGGCATCAGAAAGGGCATCCGGCCATTAAATGCTCAGCTCCATCCACTCACCCTGACTCTACCCCAAATTAAGAAATTACAGGATTGTAAAAAGGGAGTTTTTTAATAGCTAAATTCACAAGTTTTTTTACTATGTAGAAAAGAATAATTGTGAAATATTTATTAAAGTATGTTAGGTTCTGTCTCAATAACATTACTGCATATTTTTGTTCTAAGAAGGAAAAAACAATAGTTTAGTTTGGTTTCAAAGTCTTTTCATCTCTTTCCTTCAGATTAGGTGGCTGATTTTAAGGCTTTTCTGGCTATTTAAACTTTCTTGGTTGCTTTCTTCAGGTCAAGACATACATATATGGAGGTTTAAATCTTCCTTTCTATAGCATATATAAGAAATGGGTTTTGTCAGAATTTCCACCATTAAAACATCACAAGGTAATTATTCACATGTACCAGCCAAAGCATAAGAAATGAAAACGAACATCTGAAATACATAGAAGTTTTACCAATGGCAAAGCTTACATTCGTATTATGTTGAAATACATGTGGAGAGATATGTGTTGATAAGCCTTTATAAGTTCCACAAATTTTGCAGGATCAAATATTAGATTGAAATGGTCAAATTCTGGACAGTATTATTTATTACTGCCCAATATCCTCTTCCTCCTTCCCACTTGTGGTAAACTAGTCTAGTATTCAACAGTATTATGCTATAATTTTTTGGGAACCTTTGTATCCAGGTATGCACAGCTGAGATTCAACATCTCTTTTATACAGCAGAAGAGGGAGGTAAAAATATCCTTTTATTTTTGCCAGTGTTCTTAGCTCTTGCACATTTAAAACTATGACTTGTTTAAAATTGCTGGTCATTAGTACAGAGATATATTAATACTGGCAGCAATTTATTTCTTATCTAAATAAGAGGTGCAAATTCTGAGGTCAGCTGCAAAATTTTAATTTTAATTTGAACAAATTTAGAATTTTATTCAAATGTTAAACAGACTTGGTAACTCCACAAGGTGAAAAATCAGAAAAACGTTCCTGACTTAACTCTTGCAAAGGTTTCTAAAGTAAGGATT